TGTCTTGCTGACTTTGTGCCATTCTTCAATTTTCTTCTCAATCCAAATCAAATTTAACAACAATAATAATAGGAGAAATAAAAATAATAATACTTTCCCAATTTTTCCAAAACCAAACCAATTTTCAGTTTTTCACTTAAACGTAATCAAACTCACTCATTATGAAATGAATATAGAACACAAAATCATCAACAAACAAAATTGCAAGAAGACCGATGTTTGTCAAAATGCACACACAGAGACCAAAAAGAAAATTGCAATATCAATTATATATTGCAAATGCGGTGTGCACACAAATTGTTTCAATAACAGACTAATAGTTATATATAACATCAGGATTATGCTTTATCTTGTTAATAACATCTAAAAGCTGATCAAATCCTTTGCCAGAGTAGTCCGCATGCATGTCAGTATACCTATAGAATGATACGTGGTTAAACTGAGCTAAAAGACCCCAAATGAAACAATATCTTTACTGAGAAAAAAATATGATCCACCTACTTGGCACCAAAGTGCCTCCACCGAGCTGCATGACAAGATTATTAGCTAATCATTGTAGTTAAATACTTAAATCTATTGGCAACAAATGCACTCATACATATAGCATATAATAACAGCAGACAGCCAAAAAATCCACTAGCCTAGTCGAGTTGGGAGGCTGGGAGAGACAACAAATCTAACTAGTAACTACTAAGTATTATTTCTTCAATTACCGAGTGAGAGGCTGTGTGACTGCGATCGAGTTGGGACTTGGGAGGCAGAGACTGGTGACGGTGATCCTTCGTGAGAGATAGAGACTACTCAGAGAGATCGAGCTGTCGAGTTGGCCAGTTGGGAGCCTGGAATCGGCGAGAGAGATTGAAAGATTAGCAGCAGAGCAAGTGGGTGAGGGAGAGGCGAGGCTGTGCAGTGGAGAATGGAGACCGAGTAGATTCAGTTGGGACTTGGGAGTTGGGTCTATGACTTCAGGACATGGAATTGGAGACAGAGACACCAAGTGAGAGTCACCGAGTAGGCGAGGACTCGAGGTCGACAGGAGTCTGGAGTTGGAGACAGACACTGAGCGAGTGAGTGACCGTCTGACCGAGGCGAGGAGGAGTCGACTGGTGAGGACTCGAGGGGATCACCGGATCAGAGGAGACAGAGACCGAGTGACGGTGAGTGCCAATGGTGACCGACTCGAGGAAAGTCGAGATTTATATTAGAGATCAGGTTCAGGGCGAGGATTCGAGGTCGACTCGAGGGGATCAGCCGATTAGGATTAAGGATTCAGTGATTTACTTAGGCTCAGCTTAGCGGGAGTCTGGGAGTGCGAGAGCTGGGAGACCGACGAAGACGAGATTAGAGAGGAGAGAGTGAGAGATCGGAGACCGAGAGATCGAGATTCGAGAGAGTGAAGGCGTGAAGCGGTTCAGACCACAAACATTCAGATTTCAGAGTTTCAGTCTTTTAGACCAGAGGCGGAGCCGCAGAGACAGACACGGTACACGGACACTCACTCGGACTGGGCTTTCAATTATTGGACTGCAGGACTGGGCTTGGGGTTATCAATGTGTCATTTTCTTCAATTTAAAAAAAAAAAATTAAATGGGCGGGTACAGGTAGCCCGTGCTTGTGCCCATAGCCCGCCCATTTAATTTGTAAGCCCGCCCGTTTGTTTTCTTTTTTGGGCGGGACCAAACAGGCCCAATTTCGCCGGGTTGCAAGTGGGTGGCCGGGTTTCGGGTTACATGCTCAACCCTAGAATTGCTACGAGTTACCATAGCTGAGGTTTCAATCGTTGGTAGAGGAGCAACATTTGAAGGACCCTGAATTAGTGCCTTGCGCCTTTCCTCATATTTAATCATGTTGAAGGCGTCATCTAGAGATGGGAAAAGTTTAATCCCCATAATTCTCCCACGAACATCTTCATACACATCTGACAACCTAAGTAGAAAAACATGACAGCGTTCACATTCAATATATTGTTTACAATATACCTCATCCTTTTGACACGTCCATTGGTGAACCTCGTACAAACCTATTTGCTGCCATGAGCGCATAAGAGCATTGAAGTACTGTGTCACAGATTTCTCTCCTTGAGTCAGGTGTCGTAATTGTCGCTTGACCTGACAGATGGCTGCTGTATTTTCTCGGACAGAGTATGCACGTTTTGCTGATTCCCAAATTTCTCTAGCAGAAGTAGCAAGTAGGTAGTTCTCACTGATTTCTGTAGTCATTGAGTGAACCAGCCAGGTCATTACTGTCTTTTGCACACCAAGCTAAATACTGCAAGCTATCGGCGGCGGGAGGTTTAGGATTCCAGGTGAGATATCTCTCCTTGTCCTTATCGCGTACGAACATAAGGACATTTCTTGACCATTGAAGTAAATTGTTCCCATTCAATTTATGGGAAATCATGATTTGAGAAGAGGAGTCAGACACAGAACCAGCTGTAATGGTCTGGTTCACACCCTTCCTAGAGTCGGCCATCCTTCTTGAACCCTCTTCTATCTCCGGTGGTGACTGGTTTTCGTCCCCGACAGTAGTGAAGGTTCTGGTTTGGCTGATTAGCGCTGACTTGAACAACATGGAGGGCGCCGCTCTGATACCATGTGAAAACGCAGCGCTGTTCGCTTTATTTCATTCAAGAAACCGATGCATATAGGAGAGGGAGAGAGTTTCCCATATCATATGGTATCTATCTAAATAAAATAATAAGAGATAAAACTGAAAATAATAATCTGATATCCCTAAGATAATGCAACAATAAAAAACTAATTAAAAGAATATTAGAGTGAAGTCTTGTGGCTACTGCACTAAGGTAGGAGAGTAAATTAGGGTTAAGTGGGCTTGAGACTTAGGCCCGCTTCCAACAGAAACTTTGCATAACAGAAAATAATAATAAAAATATTAAAAAACATGAAAACAGCTATTCCATATCTGATTCAGTCCTGCCACGTTTACTCTTTCTTGAATAGGTCAACCTAAATCTGTTAGGTATCCTATCATGGTTCCGGCTTGGTCATACCTCTTAGGAACATGGAGATTTAGCTGCTCATGGAGACTAAGGAAGCTCTACCAAGATGAATCTTCAGGACCTCCATTGCGGACCTCCATTGCAGACAGAGAAAAAAGGGATGAATCGGTGAAGTAAGGAAGTGTGTTGGAGAGAATGCAGGTCCAGTGGCTGTGAGTGTGCAATTCCTAGTGAGTGAATGAATCAGTGATGGTCTCAATGTGGTTAGAGAATGATAAAGTATCCCAAAATGGTAGTTTCTCCGATGCTATTCAACGAATTACTCAACCAATTTTCAGATCATGCCTTGAGGTTCTGCTCCGAGTTTTCAATGTTCCTTTCACTGCTGTGTTTCATGCTCTGGGGTCTTTTGCATCATTAATTCCAGCTGGTCCCTTTGTGCCCACTCAGAATCCCGTCCTTTTTGATCATTTCCAGAATTTAGCCTATTTCCCAACTTTTGATCTGCAAAAATCGCAGTTAAAGGTGTAATAACACATGCTTATAATTATCTAAGATTAATGGAGTTCACCCCATTAAAGACAATAAAATGTCATAAAATTCCATGTTGATCATAGCAGGACGGTGACACTGACACTGTCTACTTTCATTGATTACTTTTTTGAGGTGTTTAAGGATGAACATTCACTTACTGTTATTGAAGTAAACAAGATTATAGGGGATTGTTAACTTGTGGAGTTCTATATTATATTTGTTAAAAGGCCTACGTAGTGTTGTTTTCAGGATCTTTTTTATGCTTATGCTTGCTGATGTCTGTTAGTATATATATTTATGTTTGAGAAAGTATGCAAGATGACTGGTCTTAATCTTTGACTTTTAGGGAGCTAATTTGTGATTCAACAGTGGTGGAAACTGGGTTGAAGAAGCATTTAATCATTAAAAAAATTCAAAAGAAATATATATTGGACAAAAGAGCGGGATGGAAGCAGCGATCATATTCTCTCTTTTAGCAAAAATCTTTATTGGCAAATTCAAGCCGCCTGTACTATATATAAGAAGAAATGCTCTTGCCCACTTTACCAGATTCTTTGGCAACTTGCAAGGAAGAGAGTGACTGAGCGAGCCATAGCCTATCTTAGATATGACTTTGCTTTGCAAGGCTAGAGATTTGAGAAAAACCCATTTCTGATCTGATATTGGAATTTAACTCTCTTATTTTTTTTAATTTCAAGCTTGGGGTTAAATTCTCCACAATATCTATCATTCTTCCAACAGCAAGTGGTTCTACGATCCTTGACTTGACTTCAAAACCTTGAGAGAGAGAGAGTGAGAGAATAAGATAGAAAGTAAGGGGCTAATAAATAATCACACGGCCAACAAAGAATGCAATTGCCTTAATTCCGTCAAACCTTCGTTCCATCCAGCTTCTCCTTACTCTCTTGTTTATAACTGCCCTTCTTTTCTATCTCAATCTTTAAGTAAGGATCTATCCTGTAAAGTGAAAGAAATTCCCTGTTGAGGGGGAACCAGAAAAGGAAGTGAGGGATTATGAAGCTAATATCTAGTTGAAATGCATCTGGAGCAACTGATGCTTATGCGCATTAAACCATCCCTCACCATCATTTCCACTTTGAAAATCTTATGAAGTTCATACTGATTGCTGACTGCTAATACATCCAATCATTGCCTTTTGAAGATAAAAAGAAATCCATATATGCGTTTTGCTTCTTGCTGATGAAAAACAATATATTAACATTTGTTCTCAATTTCTTTGTTATTGCCGTTTCGAGATATTTTACTAGCATGGCTTAAAAATATAATAATCTATTGGTGCGTCTGCCTTATCTATTTGGTGTCCCAACCCCTCCTCCCTCCTTATTATTGTGTTTCTTTTTATTTTTAAAGAACAACATGAATGAATATCCTCTAAGCTGAGAAGTAGACATTCTTAATAGCTGTTGATGATGGGGTCCTTAACTTCCTGTTTAGGACTAAACTGAGATATAATGCATTGCATTTCTTCCACTTTTTAATGTGACAGGTATGGAGGCCGTGGGGGTTGTGACAGCTGTGGGTCCTGGGCTAACTGGTAGGAAGGTTGGAGATGTTGTAGCTTATGCCGGTCAACCAATGGGCTCATATGCTGAAGAGCAGCTTCTTCCTGCATATAAAGTAGTCCCTGTGCCTGCTTCTATTGATCCAGTTATTGGGGCAGCTATCTTACTAAAGGGCATGACTGCTCATTTTCTAGTTCGACGTTGTTTCAAGGTAGGCTTATATATTATCTAATGACATTTTAGCTTAAGCAAGGACCTCTCATTTTGCATCCTTTTCTTTTGTGCTAGTCAACAATAAGTTACATACGAGATATAATCACCTAGATTTAAAACCCTTTTGGTCCTACACTAGCTTTGTTATTTTTTTATTTATTATTATTTTTTTTGGGGCATCAGGTAGTTTAGATAAGTATGGGGAAAAAGAAAAAAGGGACAATTTCTCCCCTTTTTCAATGTGCTGTTCACAGAAACAAAGAGCCATCTCAGATAAAGAGATGTTGGGAAGAACCGTTAGCCAATCTAACTCCTCTCATATATGGATTACAAATCTTGAGATATACTAATATTTGAAAGTTAACTGAGCAGGGAAAAAAGTAATTTTGCAAAGGAAAAATATTGCTATGCTTTTTCATACTTTATTAGCTTCATAAGCAGGTTTCATGTATAGGAAAAATAGGGTTACAGGAATCAAATAAAATCAGATTCTGATCTGATTATATCCCTTTGTATCCTATGGATTAATGCTAAAATCAAACAATCAAATGACAACGATGTTGGGATCCTAATACATGAGCAATGGACATACGTCATGGGCCAGGCCCATAACGTCATTCAACAAAAAGATTGGTCTGAATAATCTAAACAGATTAACAGAGGACCATTGGTGTTACTAGAAAAACATAGCATGCACTTCCCTTCAAGTTAAGGAGTAGAGAGTATATGTTAATTGTGTTTGCTGGAGCTCAACTCTATTTCGACTGAAGTGTTATTCTTTCTTTGCACATCTGCCACTTGAGGATTGGTTGGAATGTGACTCAGTTCTGATATACTTAATTCCATCTCCTCTTTAATAAAATGTTTTTCAATCTATGTTTAGTCCTTCCATAATGGATAGATTTTTGGCACTGCAAGTTATTGCAATAATCCATTAGGTAAAACTTGGCCCAGAAAGCAAATCCATCATAGGCAAAACAACTTTGATTTTGAGCTAGCTGAGAAGCTTCATCAATCACATCTGCCAAGTATCGGATTCAGCTTCAGCAAGTTGCTTCTTGCCCCTCGATGTAGCTAGGTTCCCTAACACGGGTAGAATACCTTTCAATAGTTCAATTACATACATGCTCTCAGTGTACATTGAGTAAACTTGTTCCTATCATATGGTCCCTTTCTTAAAGAACAACCTTTTACCCCAGGTCATCATAATGTAATTTTCAAATTCTATTCAGAGCTTAAGTTCTCCTTGTTTGGTTTATCCTTGAATTGACATCCACAAAAATAGCAAACCAAAAAACTAGTCAATTGTGTAATTAGCATATCAACTTAACCATAATCCTTTTTTTCCTTTCCATCAGTGGAACTATGCGTGTGTTACAGCACTACCATTTATGACTAGAGTGGGAGGCTTTATTTTTTAAAGATGATTGAGGAGAAGTAGATCTTCAAAGACCGTATCATTAATAAACCCCAACAGGATGCATAAGCTCCTGTCAATGATTCCTTCATGTATCGTTATGAAATGAACTAAATCACCTGATAAGATTGTTGCTACAACTACATATTTTTGATACTTCCATTTTGCCCCTAATATCTTGTTATTGGAAATGCAAGCTTTTGCAAAGGCCTTGTATTTATTCATAATTTTGCCCCAGCTTTAATGATGATATGACACACATTGATTGAAAAAATTTTAACAGGTTGAACCTGGTCACACAGTTCTTGTCCATGCTGCAGCTGGTGGAGTTGGGTCTCTATTGTGTCAATGGGCAAATGCTCTTGGTGCAACTGTTATAGGGCTTGTATCAAACAAGGAGAAGGCAGCTCAAGCCAAGGAGGATGGATGTCATCATGTTATTATTTATACAGAAGGGGACTTTGTCGCTTGTGTCAATGAAGTTACTTCTGGCAATGGAGTTGATGTGGTCTATGATTCTGTAGGGAAGGACACATTTGAGGTAATACCCCAACTGTTATTCTACTTTCAATTCGAATGAAATTTTATTATTTGATATTTGCCTACTATTTTTTTTTTCCTCTTCTTGTCAATGAAATTTTTTTGTTTTTTCTAATTTTGTTGAACCGAAACAAGCCAATTACTCACTAATAGGTTTCATAAACCCCCCCGGGGGGGAGTCTATTAGTACAAACTGTAAGAGAAACACGAAAGGCAAAACAAGCCTATCATGCAACTTATAAAGAAGAAATCAAACTAAAACAAATCATAGTCTTCAGCTCCAACTCCTGCCTTGTCAGCAACTTCATCTATTAGCAGCACTTGCTTCAGCGAGGTCCTGTAGCGACAAAGAAAGCAAAAGCGTTAGTGGTTCTGTCTGTGCCCCCCTTGCTTGAGCGGCAATCCAGTCTGCAGCTTTATTACCCTCGGGGGACACCTAGGATGGAGAGAAATCTCTGCCTGGTCTCATTCCTGCAAAATGTCATTTACTGCCATTCACACCCTTCAGCATATTTGCTGCACAATCTGGTGAATAATTCTTTCACAATCGATCTCAATCTTATAAGAACCGGAGTGATGGAAAAATTAAAGGCAGAAAATAATCTACTATGAAGTTGAGGTAAATATCTCACTCACAACTCACGTATAGCCAAAGATAAATTTTTCTACTAAGAGTAAGCAAAGCAAGAATCTCACTCTACTAATCTCAATAGCCAATAATAGGAAAGTCTCCAATTATTAAATGATTTTTTTGGGTACAATTATTAAGTAATTTGTTTATTTCTCAACAGATGACCCGCCTATTTAAAGGGCTAGAATACATTTGGAATAAGCTTATAAAATCTAGATAACCCCTAAGATTGTGGACGCTGACTCGAACAATATTAGACTGGATGTTGGGATCATTGTAACTATTAGTGTTTCTGAATGATTCACAATATATTTTACTGAATAGCATTTTACATGATTTATAGGATGGGGGAGAATATTCCTAATTATTATAGATCTGATTTGGTTTCCCTAAATAGCTCCTAGAATCATGGGATAGGATAATAATCAGATATGATCAGATTTTATCTCAATCTGACCGTTACAGCATTTATGATTAAATGATCCTGGAATACAGCATTTATGATTAAATGATCTAGGAGATTTAGGGTAAAATACTGGTTCATGGGCCGCTAATAGCCAGCCCACTTTCCCACACTCCCCTCAAGCTGGTGAATAGATGTTGATCATTCCTAGCTTGTTTTTGAAACCTTCAAATTTTTCTTGAGTTAAGGACTTTGTCATCACGTCTGCAATCTGATATCTTGAGGGTATGTAGGCTAGGTCAATCACTTTATTGTCAATCTTTTCTTTGATGAAGTGACGATCTATTTCCACGTGCTTTGTGCGATCATGATGTACAGGATTGTTGGCAATTTTTATTGCTGAGAGATTATCACACCACACCTTTGTTGGTACCTTGCCTTCCATCTTTAACTCCTTAAGAAGCCTTACAAGCCATATCCCCTCACAAATACCTAGAGCTAAAGCCCTATATTCTGATTCTGCTGAGCTTCTTGAAACTACCGGTTGCTTCTTGCTTCTCCAAGTTACTAAGTTTCCCCATACGTAGGAGCAATAACCAGTGGTGGACCGTCTATCCCTTTTAGAGCCTGCCCAGTCAGCATCTGTGAAGAGTTCCACTTCTCTAGAGTCACCTTTTGCAAAGAATAGTCCTTGTCCTGGAGTCTTTTTCAGATATCTTAAGATTCTGTAAACTGCTACCATATGTTCCTTTTGGGGACTGCTTGAGAATTGGCTTACTACACTAACAGGATAACAAATATCAGGCCTAGTGTGGGATAGGTAGATGAGCTTCCCCACTAGCCTTTGATACCTTTCTTTGTTTACTGCTTCTCCATCGGGTTTTATTGTCAGCTTTTGGTTTAGTTCCATTGGGGTGTTGGCTGGCCGAGATCCTAGCATCCCTGTTTCCTTTAGGAGGTCCAGTGTGTATTTTCGTTGGGATACACTTATCCCCCTTTTTGTTCGTGCCACTTTCATCCCAAGGAAATATCGTAGTGGGCCCAGGTCTTTTATTTCGAACTTTGTTGCTAAATTTTCCTTCAGCCTTGCAATTTCTTTTTCATCATTACCTGTCAATACTATATCATCAACATATACAATGAGAGCTGTTAGTTTGTCATCATAGTGCTTAATAAATAGTGTATCATCAGCTTGACATTGTTTGTAGCCTTGTCCCTTAATTGCTTGGGAGAATTTCTCAAACCAAGCTCTGGGGGACTGTTTTAGTCCATACAAAGATTTGTATAACCTGCAAACTTTCCCACAGTTTTTTGAATTTCTCATCCCCAAAGGGATTTCCATATAAACTTCTTCTTCTAGATCTCCATTTAGGAAGGCATTTTTAATATCAAGTTGATGTAAAGACCAGTCTAAGTTTGCAGCAATAGACAATAGTACATTCACAGTGTTGAGTTTTGCTACAGGAGCAAAGGTTTCTTGATAATCTATGCCATAGGTTTGAGTAAACCCTCTAGCAACTAACCGAGCCTTATATTTATTTATACTCCCATCTGGATTATATTTTACTGTGAATACCCATTTACTACTTACCATTGTCTTACCTTTAGGCAGATTTGTAATTTTCCAGGTTCTATTCTTATGTAGAGCTCTTAATTCCTCTTCGATGGCTCGCTTCCAATTTGGATCTGAAATAGCCTCATTGAAATTCTTAGGAATTTTCACATTTTCTACGTTAGCTACAAAAGTCTTTAGATGAGGAGAGAGCTTAGCATAAGACACATACTTACTGATAGGATGCTGAGTACAGCTCCTTTTACCTTTTCTTAAAGCAATGGGCCAATGGAGATCTTCAGGACTAGGTTGAGGTGCAGAATCATGATTCTGTGTTGGATTAGTTGTGGGCCTTTGTTCAGTGTTTTGCTGTTCTTCGCTGTGAGTAGGTGATTCTATCGAGTTTTCAGTCATATCTTGATCAGAAATAGAGTTTAGGGGTTCAAAGAAGTTTCTGTTTTGAGGTACAGGCCTGTTTGGGTAGTTTTCAGGTCTGGTTGGGGTTTGGTCAGTCCTTTCTGGGCTATTTTGGAGGCTGTGTTGAGGTTCTGGAGATGTGGCAGGTATAGATGGTGGGGTAATATGTATATCTAGAGGCATGGAAGGGTTTGTGTAGGTTAAAGGTTCTGTTTGCTTGTTAGAGTGATCACAAATTATCCAATTACTTCCCTGATTCTCCCCCTGAATAGGTGATTTGTGATAATATGGCTGTGTTTCAACAAATCTCACATTCATAGTAATATAGATTCGGTTAGTGGTGGGAGAGTAGCATTTATATCCCTTTTGGTTTGAAGAGTAGCCAAGAAAAATGCATTTTATAGCTCTAGGATCCAGTTTCCCCCCATGTTCATTGTAAACAAAAGCAGTGCAACCAAATACCTTTTTAGGTAAGGAGGTAAAGAGGGCAGAGTTGGGAAAATGCTCAAGAAGTGTCTGGAGAGGAGTTTTGAATTTTAGGACTTTGGAGGGCATGCGATTTATTAAATGTGTAGCAGTAAGTATAGCATCTCCCCAAAATCTTGAAGGAACATTTGTTTCAAACATGAGGGCTCTAGCTACTTCAAGTAGGTGCCTATTTTTTGTTTCAGAGATGCCATTTTGCTGTGGATTGTAGGTGCAAGAGGTTTGATGATGGATACCATTAGTGGCTAAAAAATTTGTAAAAGAGGAATTTAAATACTCTTTGCCATTATCAGTTCGCAAAATCTGGATAGAGGTTTGGAATTGATTTTTAATAAAGGTATAGAAATTTTGAAAGAGCGAAAAAACCTCAGATTTATCTTTCATTAGAAAAACCCAAGTTAATCTTGTGTGGTCATCAATAAAGGTTACAAACCAACGAGCTTTGGAATTAGTTTCAGATTTAGATGGCCCCCAAACATCACTATGTATAAGGTAAAAGGGATGAGAAGGATTATATGGGTGAGAAGAATAAGTATTTCGAACTTGTTTGGCAAAATAGCAAGTGTCACAATGAAATTCAGCAATAGCAGTATTATTAATATTTGGAAATAAAACTTGCATATAGCGTAGACTAAGGTGGCCTAATCTAGAATGCCACGACATTATTTCATCAATGGGCATAGGGGATAAGACAGAGTGACAAATAGATTTTTGTAGGGAGGACCCTTGTATATAGTAAAGGCCATTCCATACTTTAGCAGCGCCAATCTTCTTCCCTAATGCCAAGTCCTGAAAAACACAGCTAGTGTTATCAAAAGTAACAAGACAGTGAAGTTTTTCAGCCACCTGTTGTACTGAGAGCAAGCTGCATTCAATCTCAGGAACATATAAGACATTATGCAGAGTTATATTAGGAGTAATGATCATAGTTCCCGAGCCCCTGACTTGAGCAAATTGCCCATTTGCAACTTCCACAGTTTTGTGTATGGAAAAATTACTAAAGTCAGAAAATAATTCCTTAAATCCAGTAATGTGATGGGTTGCGCCAGAATCTATAATCCATAGATTTTTAGATGTAGTCAGGCTATGAAAAACATGAGTGAGAGCAGTACCTGCATGGGCTAGAGTGACAGAAGGGGTAGTGTTCTCACTGTCAGGAGTAGAGGGCAGGTGCTTATCCAAAAATTTGCGTAGTAACAGCAACTCATCATGACTAATGGTTTCATTAGAGTTAACGCCTACTAGCATTCCCTTGCTGCCAGGTTTGCCCCTAGGTTTGTTGTTTGGAGGCTTGCCATGCAGCTTCCAGCACACTTCTCGAGTGTGACCACTCTTGTGACAGTGGTCACACCACTTATTACCCCTTTTTGCTGTGGGATCACTTTGTGGGCCACTGACAGCGAGAATAGAGGAGTTAGTTGAAGTAGAAGAAATATTAGAGGCAGTGATTAATACCTTTCGGCTTTCCTCAAATTTAACAGTGTTGAATGCTTCAAGTAGTGATGGAAGTGGCTTGAGACTCATGATTCTTGCTTGCACATCCTCATAGGAATCATCAAGACCAAGAAGAAACTTATAGCAGCGTTCTTGATCCACTAGTTTTTTGTAATACATGGCTGCTGCAGTGCTGGGCCATTCATGGATCTCATAGAGGTCTATTTGCTGCCAAAGTTTCATTAGAGCAGTATAATATTGGGTAATAGTTTGATCACCTTTGGTTAGGTCATGGAGTTGTCGCTTAACCTGAAACAAAGCTGCTGTGTTTTCAGTGACAGAATAGGTAGCTTTAGCAGAATCCCAGATTTCTTTGGCTGTGGTGGCAAGAAGGTAGTTTTCTCCTATATCAGCGGTCATGGAGTTAATAAGCCATGCCATTACTAGGTTGTTTTCCGCACACCATGTTGCAAACTGGGAGTCCGTGGACGCTGGTGGAGCTTTAGTAAGATAGGTCTCCTTATTCCGTCCCCGAACAAACATCAACACGTATCTGGACCATTGTAGGTAATTATGCCCATTTAGGCGATGGGTAACCGGGAATTGGGAGAACGCATCAGACTGAGGGACTAGGGTTGTCGTCCCTTGCTGTGAGGGATTGGAGTTGCTGCCCTCAGCAGTGAAGGCGCGTGGCTGTAGAAGAGCAGCTTTGAACGCCATTGAGAATATTTTCAGATCAGTGCTCTGATACCATATTAGTGTTTCTGAATGATTCACAATATATTTTACTGAATAGCATTTTACATGATTTATAGGATGGGGGAGAATATTCCTAATTATTATAGATCTGATTTGGTTTCCCTAAATAGCTCCTAGAATCATGGGATAGGATAATAATCAGATATGATCAGATTTTATCTCAATCTGACCGTTACAGCATTTATGATTAAATGATCCTGGAATACAGCATTTATGATTAAATGATCTAGGAGATTTAGGGTAAAATACTGGTTCATGGGCCGCTAATAGCCAGCCCACTTTCCCACAGTAACAACCTAGTGCATCCTTATTTGACTCCTCGAATTTAGACCCAATAGCACGACTTCAGAAAATAACAGACCTGAGCATATTTAATAAACATTTTTAAAATAAAACACTTGACTCAGTAGATAATCATAAAAGACTCCGCTTGCTCCTAAACATGTGTTGCACTTAACTAACCACTAAAATAAATATTAATAACATAAAATCAGATTAATTCAATTCCACAAACTCACTGCATATGACTTATACTTGGTACTCCTTCACAATCACAATCCTTCTGCCATCTGGCCATTTCAGACAGTCGGCCATTCAGTAATGAAGGAAAAGATAGATACCACATTCCACCTAAAGCCACTCAAAAACAAACCCTTATCATCTCTGGCTATCAAGCCTATACTTCTTCCAAACTTCTATAGTAGTAGGCTTCATCTATTTTCACCTTGGAATCTCCAACTTATGGTAAATTGCGCACCAAGTTCCTTCTGACATCCTTCTCCTTACTCTTCTTCCTTCCTCATCTCGTGTGATCTCCAATACTCATTCACTAACCCCAGTGCCTGCTCCAGCCCTCCTTTCACATTCACTTTTGCACCATTAATGATATACTCACCTGCTTTTCCCAATGCTTTAGTAGATTGATGGGGACTTGGTAGTATGAAATACTAGGTCTCACATTGAGTAGAATGAGATGCTCAATGGAGTGTTTAAGTGGGTTGGTTCTTCCACCTCAACAGCTAGCTTTTGGGATAAGGTTTCCCATCCCATTTAGGTACCCATCAATTGGTATTAGAGCTAGGTTGTTTGTGGTTTCGGAGAGGGTTACTCATGGAGGGTTCTGACCAGTAAGATGTCGAGTGAAGTGCCACCGTTGGCTTTACATGGGGGGCCAATCACATTGAAAAGAATGGGATGCTTAATGGGATATTTAAGTGGGTTGGTTCTCCCACCTCAACAGCTAGATATTGGGGAAGGGTTCCTTATCCCACTTAGGTACCCATCACAAACCAAGGCAAAAGTTGCTTGTCGATACTCATCTTACTACTTGGGTAGGAAGGTGTTAACAAAACCACCCACCCCCCCAAAAAAAATAAATAAAAAAATAAAAAATGAATGCATTAGTTTCCCTCACTGCATTCCTCTTTTTGCCCTTATTCCTCCTCTCTTGGCCTTGTTTTCAAGGTCCGATGTTATCACGATGGAAGATACATACCTTTTAGGTAATACCTATGATACATTGATAATTAAAATCTGGAGTTCTATTGTATTCTTATAAAATAATAATTTAAATCACATCGAAACATGATATAGGGTCTGTTGCAGAGTTATTGTTGTGCCATGTGTTGTATATGTCTCAGTATCTATGCTTCATTTGTGGTGCAAAATTGGGTTTTCTTTTTTCTCTCTATTCTATATGGATGCAGAATTTGGATTTTAAGAATCTATGCTTTTATTTAAAAGAAAATGTATTATAAACATAAAACAACGAAAATAGGCGCTTCAACTTCAGGCCGTTTACATCCATCATCTTCATTGGCTTTTGTGATTAAATGGGATGTTATGATTTTTGTGAAGGGATCATTGGCATGCTTAAAGCTGAGAGGGTATATGGTAAGCTTTGGTCAGTCCTCAGGCACACCTGACCCAGTCCCCTTATCTGCACTGGCTACAAAGTCGCTCTTCTTGACCCGGCCCACCCTATTTCAATATGTTGTGACTCGGGATGAACTATTAGAGGCAGCTGGAGAAGTATTTGCTAGCGTGGCTTCAGGCGTCTTGAAGGTGAGAGTCAACCACACATACTCATTGTCGGAGGCAGCCAGAGCACATGCAGACCTGGAGAGCAGGAAGACATCAGGTTCTATTGTGCTCATACCCTAAATATGTTTTGAACCTTCCGCTGTACTACTGTTGCTTTTCTTAAGAATGTATGCTTGTCATTGTAAATATGGTCTCACTATTGTGTTCATGTGATTTTTAAATTCATCCTTAATGCTATTTTTGGAGAAGAACGAGCTTGGATTTAGTTGATGTTATGAAGGCCTACTCCTTCGGTTGGTTTCAGTAATATATACATTTTTCTTTTTGCCAACATTAATAGACGCATTAAGGTAATCATCTCACATGTGTCTTTTGTAGAGATATCACATGGCCAAAAAGATATCATTTATATGCTTTATTTAGCCTGGAGTTGTGTGAAAATCACTACGATGGTTGGTAGAAATCTCTAAGCTGTGTTACCAACTTGCAACAGAATTTGTGATTTCTGAAATTAGGCGTGCACAGAAAAGCAAGAATCCAGGTAGGATGAATTTCACATAAAGAAGCCTTAAATTATGATATTATGATAGGGTGACTATTAAGCCAATAAATTTTATTAACATTATAGTGCTATATATAGGTGTGTATATAAACATTATAGGGCAGTATATGTAAAAGTTAATTTCTTTATATTTGTTCTAGCTCGTGACATTAATGTTGTAAAATACTACCTCCGGTCTTTAATTTAAGATCCTGTTTGACTTTTATTTTTCTAAATATAAGAGCTTAATCCACTTTGTCTCTCATATTTATATATATTTTTCCAAGATAGTCTTTCTAATAATTGTAATTCTAGCCAATATAGTTGATTAGTAAAGATATTTTAGGAAAGATAACACCTATTTATTACAAATAACTAACTTAACTTCTTTCCTTAATCTCTTCAAATTAGTCAACTGGGTCTTATAATTAGGACCATAGGTAGTAATAAATTTGGAGTTATGATTAATATGTTTTTTCTTTATACATAACATGAGAATAAATTAAAAATGACAATTCATTTGAAAATGACAAGTCCTGATTGTGAAATAATAAATTTAGAGTTGAACTAACAACACGGTTTTTTTTTTTTTTATACGTAACATGAAATAATGTGAATCAGCTAAAATGACCATACTTCATTTGGGAATAACAAGTCTTAAGTTGAGATTAACATCATGTTTCTTCAATATGATAGTTATGGTATTTATAATTTATGAAAATATAAAAAAAAATTATACTAGTTATATTATTTATAATTTATAAAAAGTATTTTAATTTATAGGGTTAAGGGTCAATTATATCAAAAGTTTACCAAACACTATAAACTTCTTTCGATTCAAATCTATCAATCAAAGTTTTAAAAAAACCCAAAAAGACAAGCGTCGTTAAAATGCAATAATGTTCATTAAAACGTGCTGAGACTCATAATTTTTAATGAAACTATCAAAATACGCTCATTTAAAACATAAAAAGTTAAGAATAAAAAATACTCATAAACTTATTCCGTCAAACACCATATACTTTTTAATAAAAAAAATACTAAAATATCTCAATCTTGAAGGACTATTATATTAGAATGCGTTAGATATTATTAATTATAATAGATTTTTATAATTAAAATAACTCGTGTAACAAAAATTTGAGTTTGAATTGAATTACTTTTCAATTATAGGTTGTTTATATTCCCAGTTTTTTTAGTAAACATTATTGATATCTTTTGAAAATAAAAGTAACAAAATGCTTTTATGTTTATTTTATCCTTCACAGTGAACATGAAATTTTTTTAATGTTTATGTTCAATTCCTTCAGGGAATTTAAAACCACTTTTGACAATGGAACCCACAATATCTTGAATAAAAGTACCAGAATAGCCACAGTTAAAAAGAAGAAGAAGAGGGAGATGAAAAAAAAGCCACTTTCTTATCAAATGGATTTAAATTCTTTATTTCAATCAAACTTTAGAATATCTCATAATTTTTTTTCAAGATTTAATTATAAAATTTTTAAATTAAATTAAAAATATGAAAATATCAAACGAAATGAAATATTTATTTTTCTGCCTTTATTTAACAATTTTCCGTAATTAAAACGCTTCAAGATAAGTAATAATGGTGTTAAAATATAAAATATGAGAAGTTACAAGTTTTATGTGTAATAGTTATGCTAATAAAATATGTTCAACCATAATAGTTAATATAATAATTGTATAAAAAAAAGTTAATATAATAATTACAACAATTGATTAGTTTTTATTAAAAAAATTGGTTGATCAAGGAAAAATTTATTAAAAAGCAATTTATTTAAAAAAGTACAAAGATTGGGGACATAAATAACTCATCATTGAAGAGCAATTCAACTCGAAACATTTTTATACGAGTCATTTTAATTATAAAAATTTATTATACTCTAATGCAATAGCCCTTCAAGATTAGAGTATTTTGGTACTTTCATTGAAAATTATGTTATTTGATGAACTTTTGGTATAAATTCATGGGTATTTTTTTGTTTTATTTAGAGGTATTTTGGTAATTTTATTAAAAAAAATGGGTCCCACAACCAATTTTAATGGACTTTATTACATTTTAACAGCATTGGTATTTTTGGGCTTTTTTTAATGGGTATTTTTGACCCTTAACCCTAATGTATAATGAGTTATATAGATTAAAAATTGTTTATAAATTATAATTTTTTGGTTAATTGTACTTTTATTTGTAACTTGTAATTAGATATTTGTCATATATAATTTATAATTTGTAATACTATTTTATTATATTATCTAGGATTAAGGTGCATTTAGTACCCTAAAATATTTTATAATTAAAAAGTATTATAAATTATAAATTATAAATAACTAAACAAAAGCATAATTAACCAAAAAGTATAATTTATATATACTTTTGAGGAAGATATATTTATATCACTCGCTATAAATTAAAATACTTTTTATAAATTATAAATAATATAACTAGTATAATTAAAAAGTATTTCCCCATTTTTATAAATTATAAATAATATAATCAGAAGACATGTTATTAATCCCAATTCGAGACTTATTATTTCAAAATCTAGATGAAATGTTGTCACTTTTAATTGATTTATATGTTATGTATCAAGAAAAAATATCTTGTTAATCCTAATTTGAGACTTATTATTTTATAATTAGGAGTTGTTATTTTCAGGTGAGTTGTCGTCATTTTTAATTGATTTTCATGTTATGCATTAGGAAAAAACATGTTGTTAATCCCAACTTTAGATTTGTTATTTTACAATCAAAATTTTTTATTTTCAAATAAATTGTTGTTATGAGCTAGAGCCAAAAGAAAGGAGTTAACACACAGATATAAATTCAATTAAAAAGTTCTAACATTAACTATTAACAAAAATTTGTTGGCTTAGTGGTAACCCTAAATTTTAGCAACAATGATCAAATTCCATCAATCCCATTTTTCTCTCTCTTAAAAAAAAAATCCTCTTGCAAAAAAAAAAAAAAAAGGCTTCACCGGTAGGCACCTTGCCAATCTAGCACTGGTAGGCGATTAGCCAACTACCGGCAATGGTGAGATCCAGTGAGGGCTCCGATCTTTTTTTTTTTTTTTTTTCAAACAAAGGAATATTTTTGTAGTTTTTTTTTTAATTTCAAAATTTCAATTGTTTTACTTCATTTTTTGTCATTTTGAAGTGTTGGGTGTTTGAATTGGAATATCATGATCTGAAATTTTCTCATCCACATATGCATTTCTTTTTTTTTTAATAATATTCAATTAATTGGGCTGTGTCTATTAATTTTAATTAAAAGTGATAAATACATAGTAAATGTGTTTTTTAAGATGTGCTCTTATTCATAAGAGGGTGAGAGAGATGGAAATAATGACAAAAAAGATGGAAAATAATGCAATTATTTAGGGATAAAATTTGTAAAAATATATTTAATGGTTAGACAATCTAAATTTGATCTTATAAAAATTTGAAAATTTGAATCTTATAAAAGGTAAAAAGAAAAGCGAAAGATGCTAATCAACTATGTCTCAGATGGATTTGCATCACATGCCTATCCTTACTTATGGGCTTCGTGCCATCTTCTCTCTTTTTTTTAATTACTTTTTGAACAAAACCGATCACACATTTAGGAAAAACGACACTGAGTTCCTATGAAAGGCAAAATACTATAAAAAGGCCTCTTCAAACTTGCTAATTGCTCTGGAGTCCCAAAAAAACTTGATTTCAATAAGAGGAAACATGAAAAGATTATATTGTCCCTGCTAAAGCACAATTGGAAGACGACTTATTCCCCCTTATTCACTATCTCTCTCTCCTCTCATTATGGTGATAAATCCCATTATAAGAAGACCTTCACCATACCTAAAAGACAATCACCATTGCTATAAACTTTGAAGATCGTCAAATTTGCTGCCATCGCTAAAGATGTTCATGATCGAAGCGTTAACACTACACGATAAGTTCGATAATATTTATCAAGTATGCATCATACACAATAGATGCATTTTTTTCTCTCCCAAACTAGTTCAAATAAAGCATAAACATTGATCTAAAAACCTGAAGTTAATCATTCAATGGTTGATTTAGTCATGTTAAGTGGATTTCTTAACTTTGCTGGATTGAAGAAACAAGGAAGATATGCTCAATTTGAAGGGATCTTGACACATGATACCTGTGCATGAAATTATTTAAGGGAAAATGACCACAAAATACCATATGAATTTCAAAAAGACAAAGAAGACATCTAAATAAGCAAAATGACAAATAAAGCATCAGGCACCAATATGGAATTTTGATTTTTGGCCTAAAGACTGAATTGTCCTTATTATGTTTGAAAAGTGAGGAGATAGAGAAAGGTAGAAACTGCCTCCACTAAGCAAAAGCAACCCCCCAACTCAGCGAAACTAAATCTGAGCTCCTCTAGTCACCGAAATGTTAATGAATACATTTTTTAATTGATTAGACAATGGTATTTAGGTGATAAGTTAATGAAATTTACTACATTTGTTAGTGTAATTGACTACATTTATTAATGGAATTGACGACATTGTTGTGAAAGAAATATATAATAATGAATGAATAACAAGTGGTATCATTGCAGTAGGGAAAATGGTATTAGAAGTATAAGGAGAAGGAGAGGCAAGTGATAAGTGAAAAATGGGTACATGTTGTTTTTTCATGAATTTAAGTTGGGGAAAGAGTTTAGGAATAGGGGACAAGAAGTTAGGGAGGCAGCAAAGGCATAGAGGGAGCTGCCACTAGAAGAGATGCATAAATATAATGATAAAGTTAACAAAC